GTGCGCATTAAAAGGGAAATCGACGTATCCCTCTACTTTTCAATCATTTATTTACGACCCAGTGACAAGACTGTGTCTACCTGGAGGTGAGCTGGGGACATACGAGACCAAACCACACACCGTTCAATTGATGTACTCAAACTGTGATGTATCCCTGGGATATTCCAACTCTATTTTTATGCAGTTTGGATACTGTGTTTACATCTCATTTGTTCCGGCTGATTTTGCCACGGCTGAAAGTGTTTGTCGAAATAAAAGCGGTCGACTTTTGACTGTAAAAACTCCAGGGAAGAAGCAGTTTTTGACAGAATTCCTATCAGCCCAGAGCTTTACCTACATTTTCATAGGATTGGATGACAGGACTACTGAGGGCAAGTACGTGTGGTCTGACAAAACTCCGGCCAACATGACGGAGATAGCAACTTTTTTTATTCCCGGAGAGCCCAATGATACCAGCAATGCTGAAGACTGCACTGCTTTTGAACATAGGTTCGCAGCCTACGGTCTAAACGATTGCAGGTGTAGTGAACCACATAATTTTATATGTGAATACGTAGTGTAGGATTACGATGATGAGACATGTGAGACATTTAGAAATATGGGTTAGGGGAAATAGGAGACCTTTAGATACGAGAAATGCTGAAGACTGCACTGCTTTTGAACATAGGGTCGCAGCCTACGGTCTCAACGATTGCAGGTGTAGTGACCCACATAATTCTATATGTGAATACGTAGTGTAGGGTGACGATGATGATGCTGAAAAACTTTAGAATGTGAGACTTTTAGAAATATAGGACATTTGGAAATAGAAGACCTTTAGAAATAGGAAAAATTTAGAGGTAGGATACATTTAGAAATAGGAGACATTTAAAAATAGGAGACCTTTGGAAATAGGAAACATTTAGTGATAGGACACATTTAGAAATAGGAGACATTTAGAAATAGGAGACATTTAGAAATATGAGACATTTATAAGTATGAGACATTTAGAAATATGAGACATTTAGAAATATGAGACATTTAGACACAGATGAGACATTTGGAAATTTAGAAATATTAGAAATTTAGACACATGAGACATTTTGAAATTTAGAAATATGAGAAATTTAGCTTAGAATTCTAAATATTTTTTTTAGGTCATTGTTAAATGTTGTGATTTTTTTCATTGTATAATTAATTGTTTGTGACCTCTTCACGCCGTGTTGAAAGACACACACTTTTCATCGATAGAATGCAGATTGACTTCAGTGAGGTAGATAGATATTTTTATCATTTAAAAAGTGTGTTTTCTTCAACAAGAATAAAATTCATCTAGATATTTGACATGTCCTTCACTATTTTGCGAATTAATTACAGTGTTAACTGGCGATTAAAAATTTACAAGCTCTCCGCAATATCATATTTCGAAAATAAATAAATAAAGCCAGCACCAATTTTATTTGAAATAGCCAAACGAGGTATGTGGAAGCTTGAATTTAAGGATAGGACAATGAGAGTAGAGCGTTTTGCCATAGAGCCTCTTCGGCGCACAGGGCAAATGAAAATACCGCAAAGAACAGAGCACATGTCTTCAATTATTATACAGTTGTATTCCATGAAAGGAAATTAGAATAGCTTATTTGTTATTAAAATATGAATTACATTTAGAGGATGGATTTAGGTATTTTTATTTATAAAGACATGAAAGACTATTAAGACTGAGTAACTAATAAATAGTACGAATTTCCAATGTGAAATTGATGCCAGGCTCATTTTCCCGCCTTTTTGTTTTTTTGATGGAAGTATTAAAAAAATGTGTGGGCCGTTGAGTCAAAATAACACATGAATATGAATCTTAAGAATATTTTTTCCTTTTACACAATTTCTGATTATGTATACAAGATATTTTACGCACTGAGAGATTCTGTGAATTGCCTCTACTCATCAATGTAGAAAGCTCTCAAATACTGTTTCAATATTTTGATATGATTTATTTAGAATGTGTTTATATATGCCGTAAACTGAATGCTTTTTCTGTACCGTTATGTTCTTTTACACGATTTCTGATTATGTACAAGATATTTTACGCACTGAGAGATTCTGTGTATTGCCTCTACTCATAAATGTAGAAAGCTCTCAAATACTGTTTTGATATTTTGATATGATTTATTTAGTATGTGTTTCCATATATCCCGTAAACTGAATGCTATTCTGTACCGTTATGAAATAACAGTTAATTAAAATTACTAACGTCATAATCGGTAATTTTTATGTTCAAAGTGTTTTTTTCCGATGTCTCATCTTTACAGGGATCTCTCTTGAAAATAAATAATCCAATGGAAATATGTATTTCTTTAAAAAAAATGTTGCTTAACGACCTTTCCTTGTTAATGATAGATTATCATATATACAAATTTAACGTGTTTAAAGTCTAAGAGTATTTGAATAGTTAACAGCACTCAGTATTTAGGCACAAGTTTTTTTATAAAATCCTTTTCAAACCACGTCTTAACAATTCATCCAACATTTATTAAAATATTTTTAGATATTATTCAAAAATTAATCATCAAATGGGAATCATTTTTATGGGAAGATTGCTACTCATCCCATTGTTGGGAGTTTTTGATTTGAAAGGCAAAAAAAAAAAAAAATGTGAACACGTCACACCACTACTCCATTCACTTCATTGGCTCCCTGTACAAGCACGGACTGACCACAAACTCTCCGTTCTCTGTCACAACTTTTTCTCGAATTTCTCCTCTTCGTATCTAACCGAACTTCTCCTTTGTCTGTTCACCCCTTCGACAGCTTCGGTCCTCCGCAGACGAGCGTATTCTCTCTGTCTCCGAGACTCGCACAAAAACATACGATGAACGATCGTTCTCTTTCCGTGGCCCTAGACAATGGAATTCTCTTCCATTACACATCCGAAATATACCGACCATCACATTCTTCAAAACTGCACTCAAAACCCTTCTTTTTAATCTCTACCATCCTGACTGATTCCCAACTCTGACGTAAAACGACGCTGCTGGGTGCCGCCCATGGCTTGACATGGACATGGTTTTAAAAATACATTTGTTTTGTTTTATTTAATTACCGGTAATGTATGTTGATTATTTTATTTTTTTAAGTTTTTGATTATGTTTGTTAAATTGTACTGTATAGCGTGGTGCCCTAGGCTGGGGTACCACGCTATATAAAACCAATAATAATAATAATAATAATAATAATAGTTAAGGCACAGTTCAGTAAAACAATTTAATCATGTTTGGTTAATTAAAACTTCATTAATTCATAATAAATTATATTGTTTTTAGTTTCACTGCTCATTCCAAAGTTAAAGGAGTATTTGCTTGTGCTGTTTTGATGGCGCATGGTCTTCTGGTCTCTTTATAACTCTAGAAATTCGTAGAACTCCGTTTGGAAAAAATATGAAATGTGTTATTTGTTAAACGCTATTATAAAATAAGAAATAACTAACTCTAAAAAAAACAAAAAACAACCAACTATCGAGACAAGGCTTATTAACCGTACCACCTACCCCCCCCCAACCCAGCGTAATTCCAGTGGGGGCGCGAAGCGGCACGTCGGGGGTATGCTGCCATACTGAGACACACCCACTATAACTTGAAAGCAGAGCAAGATTGTTCGAGGACTTACAAAAAGAAATGGTGCAGTTTTGGGCCTGACGCACATTAAGGCCTTTAACAAAAGTTAAAATTATACAATTATCATTATACTCATTTTAGTCCTTTGGAAATTGGATGCGTTTCAAATCTAGCTTTATGTTTAATCATGTTGTTTAATCATGTTGTTTAATCATGTTGTTTAATCATGTTGTTTTATCATGTTGTTCAATCATGTTGTTTAATCATGTTGTTTAATCATGTTGTTTAATCATGTTGTTTAATAATGTTGTTTAATCATCTTGTGTAATCATGTTGTTTAATCATGTTCCACTGACTGAGATTCACTGGTCATTTTATTAACAATAACCATTCAACTCAGAATCGACAGGCAGTAAAAAAAAAATTCGTTTGTCTCACTGAAATCAAACGACTATCTTGCCACTTCACGATTACCATAAACGGTCACAAATGATCTTTAAGATTTAACCTTGAATGATATGATAAGTCTTTCTGGCGTCAGACTTAAACTAATCGCGCAGGCCGTGCTGGTTAAAAGAAGCTTAGCTGTATAGCTGGATATTGTTGGGTCTACAATGTAGACAACTGAGCGACAATCAGAGAATTAAATGCTCAGCTGTTTGTAGCTTTTCGGACAGTAATTTAGCCTTTTTTATTCAATGATATATTGACTTAGTCATTGTACCATCAAAAACGCTATACTATACTCGTTAACCTTATTTAATCTAATGTACTGGTCAGTAACATATGTTATAATATTCTAGTCAACAAATTTACTCTAAGTTAATTGTCGATCAAAGATGATATTCTATACTTGTCGACAGTGGATGCTTTAAGTTACTTTTTAATGAAAAAATACTATACCATACTTGTCAACCTTAATGTGTAATTTATCAGGCTTCACCTATTACGTCTAATTATTTTTTCGTTAACTATTAAAAAAAATTTATTAACGACGGGCTTAGAGTAGCATTTATTTAGCCTTGACAGATACACATTTTAACTCTGCACTAAAATAGAAGGATGCAATTTATGTATTAAAACTTTAAATGTGTTGTAATTAATCTGGCAGACACTATGGACATGACATAAATTTTATTTGGGCCTTGTATTTTATTCAATTTCAATACTCATTTATCGCATTACGTTTTTTCTAAGCGTTTTAAGTACAAACAATCTCGTATTATTTATAATGGTAAGAATATCGAGGTGGTTGTACATGTGGACGACTGTTGTTCTTTATATTTTCATTTTGATGCCGCGATCTATCATAATATTCATATCAATAAATTAGAGCAGCAATAGAACCTATAGATTTCAACATTACAATGTAAAATTTCAGTGCAAGGCTTATTCCATTGTATTTTCTACTTATAGAGATTTTTCACAAATAACATGAACTTCTAAATTGTTATCATAACACGGATCGTCCACCATTTTCCACCCAGTTGACCTCCACAAAAGAGCACAGTTTTCCCTCTCGGAGTCACTTGGTGAATTCGGCGCCCACGGGGTGAACGCCATGGCGTTTCCCGTTCTTTGAAAACTCCAATGTCCCTCATCCCTCGCGTCACTCCCAGATACGAAGACGCCGTCGAAATAATGGCCGCCACTTAAGAACGAAACGATGGCGTCGTATTCCCTCTGGTCGTCAATCTCCAGCAGGTGACTTCCGAACTGGTGGCAGGTGGCCATGCCTAGGTCGATATCCCTGTAGGAGTACCGGGATAAGAAGTACCTGTGACTTTGATGCGTCGTATTGCTGGTGAAAAGAATAGACTCCACCTGTTGAAGGTTATCCTCCAAAGCTCCAATTCTTGCCAGCAGCCCGTTGTTGATGTCGGTCCAGTGTGCATCTAAACGATCGAGTCGTGCTCCCAGTTCTGTGATCTTCGGGTCTGTGTCTGACGTTTGTGGTATCGAAAAAGAAACGTTGGCATCGGCGAAAATTACTATAGAGTGTCCGACCTGGTCTATTCCATGAACCATACATTTGTAGTCGCCGGACTGGTTCTGTGTCGGTGTCTTCCAGTGGACCGTGAGATTGCCGACACTGTGTTCGAGGATTTGTCCAGACACTGTGATGTTTTCTTGGTTAGAGTGAGTCTGAACTTGATTGTCGTATTCAAATATGGACGCCACATCTTCGTAGCTCGCATTACTTGAGAACTGTTTATGTGATAGTAAAACAGACGAAACATACGAAATGCTTGTGGTGTCCTTGGAAAAAGTGCAGGTGATGGTCAGCACGTCCGTACAGCCTGCTTTTATCTCTGACGGCGTAACATCTAGATGCACCTGTGCCCCTAAAGACAGTATCAAATATATTATAATTTTTAAAAACATTTACTATTAAATTTGAATAATAGTATATGTATATATATATTCTGCCCAGGGTTTGTATTAAAAATATTTTTGAAAGAAAAAAACAAATAAATAATTCAAATTGCATAAAAACAAGGGAAAATGTATGTTTCAATATCACTAATAAAAATTATGGCAAATAGATGTGAGTAAAATTATTATTATCTCATTCACACGGTTCTAACAATCACACTATTTGAGCGCAGCCTATACTATATGATCCTTAATTACTAAAACTTGTTGAGAATCATTTTGTTTGCTTTACTGCTTCAGACGGCGACCCCACAGAGCAAAACTTTGAAACCTCAGATAGGTTCCTTGGGTACATTTGATTTACAGAATATGAGATTAAATCATACTGCTTTAAATAAATATTAAAATAATAATATGTGATAATTATAAACTGCACATTTTGATTTCATTTAGAGTTGAATAAAAAGATTGAGTCATTTCAGGTTTATTCCGTTGGGGGGTGGGGGTGGCAAACCACAACTTGGTTGGCTTGTTAAGTTGTTTATTACTGGACGCACCACAGTATATTGCAATTTAAATAAAAACCTGCGAATTCGGGGGCTGGGGTTGGGGGGGGGGTTGCTGTCCCATCTCGACTCGTTTAAGAATCCCACCCATCCCCCCCCAACCCCCGCCCCATCCACATGACGACTCTGAATAAAAAAAAAGGAGTGCGTTTTGAAATCCTTAAAGGATGTGAGGAACAAACGTAAAAGATGACAGAACAAATAACCGAACACAGGGATTCTTAAACGAGTCGAGATGGGACAGCATGTTCTACAATCTCAGCAAAAGGAGACACAGCCGGCCAGGTCATGAGTACCTTCTGCATTCCACAGAATCGCCGGAACGATGAGCTGACGAACTTCCCTCCCTTCTCCCGCCGTTCTCTGGCGAGTCAGATGCGACTAACCATGACAAGTTGGTCAGGCAGGACAACAAAAGGGCTACAAACAAACACAGGGGAAGCATTTGTGAATGGAAAGAAAGTTTTCAATAGCAAAACTAAGAGCAAGGAAGGGGCCGGTTGATAAAATCGCCAGCTACGCCAGTGTGTTACAGAAGGAAAGGCATGACAAGTGTATTAAAGCAGTTGTTAATTGCTACTATCGGCGTTATATGTGGGGTTGGGGTGGGGTTAAATATTTTAATTCGGTGTTCAAATTCGTATGAAATGTACACACAAAAAAGAGTAACATATTAACTATTAACACCCATTTTATTCTTGAAACTTTCTGCCAGCATGTTCGTTACAATCACGCTCATACAAAATTATTTTAAGATCACCAATTAATTATAAATTTGCTTAATCAATCATATGTGAAAATAGAAGAGGGTTTTAATGTGAGAGTATTTACCTGAAATTCCAAACAAGAAAGGTAAAAAAATTAAAAACATCTCTTTCCTTCTTCCCATTGCACGGATACGTCTGAAATATCCAATAACGAACCTTGGTACAGAACTTACTCTTAATTATGGGTAGATCTTAGATGTTGCATTAGCCTTATTTCTGTTATCTCAATATAGTCAAAAGTGAGTTATTCAAAGCTTACTCGCAGTTGACACATTATTCTATGTACTATAATTCATCTTCGAAGTATTAGAGAAATCGATGTAAACACGAATGAAGATTTTTGGCATATATTTACAGAACAAAACGCACTCCAGACAAAGATTTTGAGCAAAAAATTATGTTTGATATAGAAGTTAATTAATCTTTCACGTGAGTGACATGCTCCTTGTTATCTCCCCTGACAGCTGGTTATCCGATGAGATTGCTTGTTACCATTGGTGTCCTTCATCTCTCTCTGATTAGCAGGGTCACCATTGTGTGCAGTCTACACTTCTCAAAATGACTTTGTTAAATTTTTTGAAGATTTTAAAGGCAACGACAAGACAAAGAATGTGTCCAAACCTTTAGAGAAGCATACGATGATTGAAAACGATAGATTTTTTTTTTGGGGGGGGGGGGGGGGGGGGGGGGGGGAAAAAGTATAAAAGAGAGGGTGTAAGGGAAAGAGTGAGATTGTGAGTGTCAATGAACGGGTCCTAAAAGGAGTTTCACGGTCCTGACTTGTATAAAAACTTTTTGACGTAGTGGTGATCTGTACAGGCCAGTTCCTTTCTGTGATTTGTGTTTTGGGGTATTCAAGGTGTTGAAACAGACAAAAGCACAACGTTGAAGTATAAAGATCGAATATAACATCAGTGTGTCACACATGTTAATGAAGTAATTATCTAAGTGCTGACAAGACACAGTAACTCTGTTAATCTAAGTTTATCACTATTATTGTTGAGTGTCCTCAGCTCTGACGATCAGTGCGTTCGTCCACGTCACTCCATCTCTACTCTATGGGGTACGATCATGAAATGGAAAAAATATATATATATTTTTGTAGAGAAAAGGGTATACTGGGTTAGTGCATATCATTTCCGCTTTCACATCATTTGTGGTTGTGATGGTTTGGCTGAGTAAACCTGGGGTCCGATGACGTCACCATGATTGGACAGGAAAGAAATTATTCAGATTAGACCAATACATTTTATTTTAAAAACTATCTTACTGGGTCTGTTTTAATTAATCCTACTTAACTTACTGCAGTCGAGGTTAGAAACATCAAACGTTGAGTTTTGAACCAACCGAAATTGTTAAAATTAGGCGGCAACCACGGGCAAACTACTCTGTTTTACAAAAAATCTGGACATAATGGACATACCTATAACGTTAGTGTCAAACGTATCATCTAAGTTATCTCCCATGTTTCGTGCTCCCTCACAAACAAAAAACAACAAAAAATCTCCCCTATGGGATACGTGATTTTTTTATTTTTTAAAATAATAATAATAAGTTTCCCATGAAAGCCGAATGCATTTTATTGTTCAATTCGGGTTGGTTCCGAAGTCATGTTGACTGTTTCTAAACACGATTACAGTAAGCTTAGTAGGGCTAATCGTAACAGACCGAAAAATATACATTTAAATATTGTTAGAATGGATTCTTCTAATCTGAATAAGATCTTCTTGACTTTCGAGTCACGTTATCGTCATCCGTTCCGTGTTTGCATAGCCCAACAAGTGTAAGTCCCACAATAACTGGTGTTCATAGCCCAACAAGTGTAAGTCCCACAATAACTGGTGTTCATAGCCCAACAAGTGTAAGTCCCACAATAACTGGTGTTCATACCCCAACAAGTGTAAGTCCCACAATTACTGATGTTCATAGCCCAACAAGTGTAAGTCCTACAATAACTGGTGTTCATGTTTTGATATACTCTGTAGTGTCCCACTAATATTTTTGTAACCTTTGCCCTGGATGCTTGACATTCCAAAGAGTTATGTAACTCTAGTGCTTTGTATCGGTCGTATCTAAGATAAATATGTTGATAACTTAATCAAGTTTTATGGCCTGATTGTTTGCTTGGACAAGCTGTAGACTGTGTTTGTGTCGAGAGTATCGTAAACTCTATGACCGACCTAGGGGGGGGGGGGTTGTGGCGAAGGGACTGCAGACCCGCTTGACGCTGCGAACTTTTACAATGTTTTAAATTGTTTTTTTTAAATTTTAAATTTCTTACTTTTGTAAATAAATTTAAAGTAAAATTTAATTTTGGAGGAAAAACACTGTGACCCATCAATGCAATTTCCATAATCATTGTTATCAATCATCTGAAACTCTTTCTTTACTAATACTAAAATGTCAGTCAACGCGAAAAAAAAGGCACAACAAAAATAACAACAATATGGTGTGAATAAAAAGAATGGCAAAGAACACTCAACAGCAACTTTCAATCGCTTTTGTCCGAGCGGGAAAAGGGGGTTGGGGGGGGGGCTGGCTGGGAATATCTTCGGACGGCCAATTAATCAGCTCCCCGTCAAACTATCAAGTTGAAACTTGGATTATTGACTCTTTAAAGATAGCAACACCAATTTTGAGCCCCACCCCCTATTGCTCGATATTACTCTTTATAAAGGATTGATGCCAAACAATATGTCTTTAGGTGTTGTTCCATTGCTGCTTCATTTCAATTTTTAACATATTCTTGATCTGTGCGCAGATAAGCAAAGATAATGCTTAAAATGCTGAAAATAAAAATACTTTGTTAGGTTTATAGCATCAGACATAATTCAGGGCAGATCGCTGTTAAAACGTAGTTCAAAATCTCGCAAAATTACACTTATGTCGGGCTTTTACATATAACTAATAGTGAACATAAAATTAACGTTGAATATACCTGTAATAAAAAAAAACCACACATAATTCGAATGAAAAGAAGTCAATAAGTAGAAGCATTGGCTTGAGTTGTATTTTCTTTAAAGTAAGGGAGAGCTGCTCAAGTCGTCAGCCTCACTCACTCGTCCTCGTCCATCTGATCCAATGGCAAGACTTATTTAAGGCGACTGGAAATAGACCCGTATGCAGTAGATGGCGGCAGTGTCTTCTTTTGTCTCAATGAGCTCTCTATGTGTTCCACGTCGCAGGAGTTTTCGGAATTTTCACTGCGTCATACCGCTTACGGTTTGCATTCTCTTTGATGAGTTGCCCTCCAAGGTTAACGAGTCCCTTCCATCCCCCCCCCCCACCAGGGGTAGTAGTGCCACAAGTCGTGAGATGTCAGTAATTATAACGGATTGGTGAAATGTTTTGATAGATGTGTTCCTGAGATTGTGTAGGGTTAAAAAAAAAAAAAACATTTCGGTCCCAAGGAAAATAGGAGTTTTCGGAATTTTCACTGCGTCATACCGCTTACGGTTTGCATTCTCTTTGATGAGTTGCCCTCCAAGGTTAACGAGTCCCTTCCATCCCCCCCCCCACCAGGGGTAGTAGTGCCACAAGTCGTGAGATGTCAGTAATTATAACGGATTGGTGAAATGTTTTGATAGATGTGTTCCTGAGATTGTGTAGGGTTAAAAAAAAAAAAAAGCATTTCGGTCTCAAGGAAAATGTCTGGATCCGAGATGTACGTTCATATTTTTCCTGATTATGAGTTATACAAATTTAAAAAAATATATATTTGATGCTGCGACCAGATCGAATATGAACGTTTATTGTGAGCTTTTAAAGGTTGCACAAAAATGTACGTCTTTCCTGCGGGTTACGGGTAAAATAGCTGGGCTCATCACATGAGAACATTGTGTTGTGTGTTTAATTTACTTGACATCTGAACGTTGTGAAACGTATCATTATTGAATAATCGTTCCCAGACCAATTTGGGCAACCTTTCTTACAAAGTAGCTACAGTTGTGGCGAATGAAATGTAAAATTCGCCGCTTTATATATAAATCACAAACGACTACTATTAAATCAAATGAGAGTGAATACCGCCGAGGGATTTTTATGGAAATTATGGACATGTGATTAATTTCAAATTTTTCTTTTATGAACATCCATAATTATAGATGATTGGCACAACCTGGTATGTGCTGAAGTGAAAAATCATTTCATCTATGCAGAGCTATGAACTCTTGTTGCTTCATATACACTTTTAAAATACAAATTCCGATATGTATCAACAATGCACTGCTGAATAAATTAAAAATTTGACCTGTTTGGGGCGCAATTTTGGAAGCTCGTCTCGAACGGCATTTAGTCAATGGCCGCCTCTGCGAAAACTATCCATATTTTGGGAAGACGGTCAATGGAAAAAGTTAAAAATTTAAAAGATTACTTATATCTTTCTCTATATTGTCTCAAAATTATTTTATTTCTTTCTTTTTATTTCTTTCGAATAGAAATGTTGTTTTTTAATTTATGCTTGAAACAAAAAAAAAGAAAGAAACACGTTATTTGGTTAAAAATAAATTGCAATAAAAATGTGTTTTACTCTGAGTGGTTCATATTCCACGAAAGCCCTTCGGTAAATGCAAAGGGATGCAGTTTGGGTAAGCAATCTCTGACAGTTTGGGCCATCATCAAGGTCTGACAGTTTGGACCATCATCAAGTTCTGACAGTTTGGGCCATCATCAAGTTCTGACAGTTTGGAACATCATCAAGTTCTGACAGTTTGGGCCATCATCAAGTTCTGACAGTTTGGGCCATCATCAAGTTCTGACAGTTTGGGCCATCATCAAGTTCTGACAGTTTGGGTCATCATCAAGTTCTGACAGTTTGGGCCATCATCAAGTTCTGACAGTTTGGCCTTCATCAAGTTCTGACAGTTTGGGCCATCTTCAAGGTCTGATATTTTGGGCTATTATCAAACTCCGACTCAATACATAATTGTATATTCATTTGTAAACAGGCAACTTATCAATTTAGCTTGACTCAAAATACTTTTCTCTTGTCTATAAGATTATTTTGTACAAATATGCTTAGTACGTTAGCTATTATGAATATGCCAAAATACAGTGGCGTAACAACGGCTTGGCATTGGGGCAGTTGCCAAGGGTGCCGGCCTGCGCCAGTTCAAAAGGGCGCCGCTAAATGTCTAATTTTAAATTTTTATTTAAACAAAAGGGCGCCAAAGATAAATTAGCCAAGGGCGTCAAAAATCCAGTTGCACTCGTGCCAAAATATTAAGTTATCACGTGGGCTATACCATTAGCCTATAATTCTAGTCCACAAAATTAGTCCATAACCTTAACCCATGACAAATGCCATTGTTTTTAAATGATAAAATTAGATTCTGTTGATAACGTTCATATCAAACTGTGCCGAGATAAGCGTACTGTAATGCTGCAATTACCGTACTGTAAAATCATTTTGTTTGTAGTTGTGGGTAAAAAACGAATTTCGATTTGGTTATAGAACTGCCGTAAAAAATCTGCTCAATCCTAACATTTTAGTTATGTCATTGCAAGGTATTTAAACATAAACAGGTTCATTCACACAGGAAAGAAACACGTCTTGTTCAAAGAATCAAAACTAAGAGACCTTCGGGGAAAAGTGTCAGCACCAGAACACTTCACTTTTCTATATCTTCAAATACCAACTTTATTATTTTTTTGTTAAATTGGATTATACAACTTTTGATACGAAAGAAGAAAAGAAGAAGAAAAACACAGAAAACTCGGTGTAGAAAAATAGTTTATATCAAATGTGATTATTCTAAGAGTCTTATGCAAGATAACACCCATTAAAAAAAACACGAAATTCCAACACAATTTTCTAGTAAATAAAATGAGTAAAACAGAGTAGGGTTAAACCTGAAAAAATAAACGCAACAAAACAGCGAACGTGTCGGCTAAAATGACGAAGGCTTTCTGCCGACACGTTCACTGTTTTTTTGCGTTTATTTTTTCAGGTTTAACCCTACCCTGTTTTACTCATTTTATTTTGTACTAACCTGATTGCAGTCTCTCCCCTTATTACCACAATTTTCTATTGTATTACAACATAATTGCACCTCCCATCACGCACATTAAAAGAAAAATGTTACATTTTTAAAAAAAATTATTTGATTTTAGCACAATTTGATACAGTTCCGAAGATTTCGCACACGTTTGTCAAAATATTCCCCCCTCTTTTCTAAAGCTTTCATGGAAGAGCATTTTAAAAAAAGGGAGCAACATGTTGTCAAAATGGAGATTTGATTTAAGTTTCCCACTCTGTATTAAATTTGTATTTCAATAAAGGAAAAACAATAATCGTGGTTAACTTTTTTTTTAAAAAAGTGTCATCTCAAGCATTTACACTCCTTCCCCTTAGCTTCAGTCTAATGGTACCCGGGTGCGAATGGCGGCGCTGCGTGTCTGGTTCCATTTTGACTCAGTGTTATTCGGATGTCCTTTTTGGTAGTTTATTTTAGTTAAACTAAAGAATTAAATTTACAAACATATAGTCCATTCAATTATCTTTCATTTGATACCCCATTTTGTCTTACAACCCCAACGATAAAATTCTAAATAGTCGTTTAATCCCAACCTCTCACTTCTGGTACCCGGGTACGAATAGCCACTTCGATTTAATCAATGGTATTATTATCAATTTACCATCGGCTTTTCGCAAATGGTACCCACTTTATAGATATTATCGTAACAAGGTTGATCATACATTTCCCAGGTTGAAGCCTTCCAAAGCACTATACAGTTCTCCGTGTCACCCCCGTTGGATGCCCCGGACGAGCCCCAACGTGTGAACGGCATCGAGGTGTTAGTGCCTTGAAAAACCCAATGGCCTTCGTTTCCCCTATCTGTTCCTGAGATGAAGACGCTGTCGAACTCAAAGACGCCACCGAGAAACGAAACGATCGCGTTGTATTCGTCGCTGTCGTCGATCTGCACGAGATAACCCGAATAAAGGCGGCACAGGGCCGCGGCGACCTCGATGTTGTTGTAAACGTTTCGAGTCAGCAAGTAGTGATGGTTGTTGTAGAACGTTTCCTTGGTGAACAGGACGCCTCGCAGCTCTTGAAATCTCTCCGCCCAGCGCTCGTTCTCGGCAACCAACTCGCTCTTCATGGCGTTCCACTCTTCTTCCAGCCGGGCTTCAATCTCTTTGATTTTATCAGCATCAACGGCATCCGTGACCGCAACAGCAACGGTAGCGTTGGCAGTGAGGGTTATATGGTGTCCGACCTCGTCCAGCCCGGTGACCACGCACCTGTAATCTCCCGCAAGCCGCTCTGAGGGATGTCTCCACTGCGCAGCTAGGTGCGCCTTGCTGAGATCCATCCCGTTGCCCCACACCGTGACGTTGTCGTAAAATCCACGAACGTCTTCGTGGGGGCCAATTTTGACAAGGCTTGCTACGTCTGCGTACGTGGTCTCGTTGGTCGAACCCCTCAGCGATATCAAGATCGAGACTAAATATTTGAGGGTGCTACTTGCGTCCCCGGTAACATTGCAGGTGATCGTCAGTGTGTCCGTGCAGCCAACTTTGATCTCTGGAGTGGAGACGTCCAGGTGAACGTCAGCAACTAAATGCAATAGAAAAATCGCAGATTAATTGTTGCCCTGTTTTATTAACCGAGAATACATTTGTATTCTGCAGAATATTATTAAATTTCGGTGTGGACTGCTGCTGAAATGGGAGCACTTCGTTTCTGGCAAGATTCGTTCTTGTAACAGAAGTGAAAACGCAAAGAAAACGAGTACCAGGTAATTAAAAGCTAAAGATGACAGCGTTAAGGCACGAAATTGTGTTTTTTTTTAATGTGCTAAGTCATGACCTAGTTGATTATAATGATTGCTTTACTGTTACAAAAGTTACAAAACAATGTGTTCACATTCGTGATGCCTGAGCGACAAAAACATCTGGTATGGTATTATTAAATATAATTTTAAATACATTAAAAATAATACTGTAGCATATTCAATGCGATAATTGGAATGGACAGATTTAAAAAACTCGCTGTAGATTTTTTTTATACTCTATCATCTTGCCAATCTTTACATCCAGTGTGTACTTTTTTTTAATGAAGACTTCTTAAAAATTAACAGTTCACATTGTCATTGCTATTCTAACACTAAGGCAAACAATGAAATGGAAAATAAAAATATTTAAAGTCAACATTTTTTTAAAAAATACTACTTTTTCTTTTTTTTAAAAAACAGTGAACCTTAAATAAAGCCATGGGTTGGGAAACTGAGTTTAATGTCATGATGGACATAAATTTTAGTTTAAAAAAATTAAAAAAGCAATAAGTAATTACTTAATATGGTAGAGGTTCATATGACAGACGATGATGGATGGAGGCGGAAAGGCATGGACCGATTCGAATGGGTGTATGTGGTGGAGCATGTCAGAGCCCTGCATGGGCTATAACACCAGTGATGATGATGTCTGAATGGAAGGATGTGGTAGGGCCCTGCATGGGATGTAGGGTCACTGATTTTGATGTCTGCATTGAAGGATGTGGTGGAGCATGTCAGAGCCCTGCATGGTCCATAGCACCACTGATGATGTCTGAATGAAAGGATGTGGTATAGCAGGCCAGGGCCCTAAATGACATGTAGTGCCACTGATGATGATGAATAGAAACCAACAACCGCACTTAATCATGTCCAGCGGTAATAATTAGACAAGTTATCACAATTTAAAACCGTAATCTTCAAGCCTTTCCGTTCCTTTCGTTAGTTTTCTCTACCCTACCGTCTGTCCTCATATTTCTTCGGCTGACTTGACTGAATCTCAAAGACTAAATGAAATCATTTAATTCCTGGTAACAGTAACGGTCCATTCACCCTAGTCTCATCAATTTTTACCAGACAGTTACATACGTCAGTCTTTATCCGACGCAAGATTTATAATTGAATAGATTTTCATAACTCAACGGTATAGAGAAAACCACCTTTAATTTTCTGCATTAGCAAATAAATGGGTGTGGCATTTTCGTCACAAATTCATCCCACATGACATCGGGAGGCACATTTCTTAACAGCATTTAACCCCATATAGCCTCAGTTGAATTTCACCAAGCATAACCTTTTTTGATGCAGCATGCTATTCAGTGTCAGGCCTTCATCATTTCATAGAGTTTTGTCTACACGAATAACTTCAGCACAAAGTACATCTCTTTTTTTTTTTATTTAAATGGCTTAGTCAATAAAAATTCTAGTTTTTGTATGTGTGCTACTCTGATCCTATTTTCTAAGTGTTTCAAAATACCGTTTGTATGATTTCTTTTTAAAAAGGTATCTAAGTGGCGAGGTTCTTTGACTCTACAAAATAGTGCCTCGGGTAACGTTGCTTCTACAAAATAGTGCCTCGGGTAACGTTGCTTCTACAAAATAGTGCCTCGGGTAACGTTGTTTCTACAAAATAGTGCCTCGGGTAACGTTGCTTCTACAAAATAGTGCCTCGGGTAACGTTGCTTCTACAAAATGGTTTCACCAGACACACAAAATTTGGGAACAAAAGGCTTACTGTATACAATATATTTTAGTAGGCAATGCTATATCACATGCATATAATTTAATAAAATTTACCTGTTGGTACCGACCATACCGCCAGAAAAGCAAAACACACTAGATGAGTCATCAATTCCATTGTGGGCGCTGTTCAAGCAATGTGTCAATCAATTGTTCCTTTTTTTAAAAAAAAATTTCTTGCAATAATTTTTTTTAAAAATCTTGTTTCGATTTCACATCTGTTTTATGCCTTTGATTTCGTCACATCACATAGATACTACCGGTCTTTAAAAAAAAGAAAAGCTGCGAGGTGTGACAGTCTCCCACCCTGTTAGGTAAAGTTATTCGTTGATGTTACAGTCGCCTAAACTCATGTTCAAATCGATTGATTATTTCGTTATGTTGATAAGCTGACTTAATAGCGACGTCAGTATGAAACATAAACCAGGACCAAGGTCTTCTCAGGCTGGCCAGATCATCCGTTCAAACTCCAGGTCACCATAATGCTGGCCGTTAAGATACTTACTTTATTGAGGATTTCAAGTAGTGAACGGTTAAATTTTTTGACTTTTTTTTTTCCCTTTCGTATGTTTTTTTAGTCCCGACTCTTGACCATTTGATATATTTTTGTGTGCAAAAGTGAGTCGAGTTAATTGGGACCGGTGGTATTTCGTATAATCTATGTTTCGGATGATCAAACATTCCAATGGAAAGATTGTGTTTAAAATTATCTCATTTTATATCAGGAATAAAAGTTGTTTTTTTTAAAGAAATAATTAAAGGGACCTAATACAAGGAGAACGAAAAAAAATCGGTAGATCCAAAATATGCTTCATCAAGAGATACCTATGATGCCTTTCTACTAATGAAATGTTTGTCAATTCTCTTACTAATTCTCAGCTAAGTGCTATTTTTTAATTATGTTTTTTCTGTTGTTTGTTTGCTGACGAAGGCTTCTTGCCGACACGTTTGTCATTATGTTGCGTTGCTTTTTCCGGTTTTATATTTTATTTAACTAATTTCCTATTGACGTAAGAAAGTCTTTGTCATCACATCTTCTTCTTCTGAGCCTTTCTCACTCACAATGGAGCGTCATATCCCATCCACAATATATATCTCATCTGTCCCGGTCCTGGACTATCTTTGCTAGTTCAGCCCAAATTTTCATCATTCTTTTCACTCCTACCTCTATTCCCCCTCTTCCATGTGGCTCTCGCTCTTCCTCTTTTACTGGTACCTTGAGGATCCCAATTCAGGGCCTGTCTTGTGTCGTTGGTGATTGGTTTCCTGAATGTGTGCCCTACCCTTCACATGGATACACTTAAAATAAGGTTATGCATTGGATCTTTGTTAAGTATTGTCACCATCATCGTACATCATGACTCCCAACCCATGGGGCGCAAGATCACATAGGGTGGCGGTGGATTTTCTGTTGGCTCCCCTACTAAAACATCTAATTAAAAAAAAAAAAATAATAAAATATAATGTCTCAATAAACTTTGATCAATTTCATAATAATATATCAATTGTTAAAAGTATTTTATCACACAGTTTATAATCTTATTTTATATATCTGTGTCCCTGGTCACTTTACTCCTAATAATATGAGGCCGCGACACACAGAAGTTTGAGAACGAACCTGTGATGTCATACAATCCAGCTCTACATAGTGATACAGCTATAGCTACCATTCTTTAAAAAAATCAAAACGAATATGAAGGAATTGAGTTGTAAGGCTTTTCAAAAAAAAAAAAATCGAACAAGTACGTCACGGAGGACAACCAAATATCCAAATTATTTCTAACAAAATAAAATACATCCAGCGGCGCCAGGAGGTTGTGACAGCCCCACTGTTCTGTGTACAATGTACAGTACAATTTCCCCCAATCCCTGGTTGTTGGTGATATGAATCTTACGAGGTTTGAGCTATGATAAACAGAAGTAGCCACAAATGATGTGCCGCCATAGGGAACAACTGGCTAGGGGCGATGTTCAGTTTCAATTACACGGGTTTTTATATTGAAATGTTTAAGGTGATCAAGACGTGAAAATGAAACGTGTTAAGTTTCACAAAAAAAAAAGACACTTTTTTGATACAGAAATAAATGAAAAGTAGGGGTTTAAAGTTTTGCCAATACCAGTCGTTATGGTTTCAGATGATCTCTTAATTTATAGCGTGAGTCTATGAAGAACTCAAATTTTGAATTAGGTCTTTGTATATAAACAATCACGAGACAGTCATACGGCCGGGTCGAATGGCCCTGACCGGTCAGACAATTAAGTCACTTTAAAGCCGAAAAAAAAAAAAAAAAATCAGCTCATCGTTGATATAATCAGGTATAATGAAAATTGTAAAATTATTTCTCAGTTTCTAGATGTTTCCTGATAAAATACTAAATGTTCACGTGAGCCGGTGCACTTCTGACGGCGCATCAATTTACTCAGGTTCAGATGACGTTGATGGCCGCTGCTAAAGTTATTTCCAAAAAAAAAAAAATAAAAAAAAAAATAATAAAAACAACAACAAAAACTATATTTTAAAATTTCACAAAGAAACTTGAACTACGTTAAGTAGTAAATACTTCTGACGGCGCATCAATTTACTAAGGTTCAGATGACGTTGATGGCCGATGAAAAAGTTATTTCCAAAAAAAAAAAAATAAAAAAAAAAATAATAAAAACAACAACAAAAACTATATTTTAAAATTTCACAAAGAAACTTGAACTACGTTAAGTAGTAAATACATTGTTTCTTCAAACGGAATAAATGTAAACACGCCCCTGCCCCCTTTTCTTTCGAGGAATATGACTTGAGATGAATAGCAAATGCAGCTGCTCTCCCTCTAACAGCGGCCATGGTGTGCCTTATAACACAAAAGAAAGGGTGACACCTTGAAGAGGATTACGCTATTTATATCTGTTGCCACGCAGTCACTTTGAAACAGAGAAAAAACGTTGCAATCGCTTGTCATAAAAGCTGCTGGAAGACCCCCCACGTCCAGATATGTTGCCGTTTCTTACGACTGAGCTTCACATCTTTTGACAGAAAAAATATAGCGTTGCTCTTTTTTTTTCATCGGCACTCTTCGGTAAGCTCTCAACTGCTGTTGCCGTTGTCATTGTCTAACGTGAGGTGTTGTCTTTGTTTTAAATAGTGAAGTTTGTTTTTAGATTGAATTTTAAATCAGTTAATTGGAAAAACATTTTTTCAGTTTGGGGGTCAACGATTTGCGACGGATTGCGACCCCGGGGGGGGGGTGGTGGGTAACCTTTGTCAAATAATAGAGTGAATACATTATAGACGGACCCACGTGCAATTCACCTTAATAATACAATATGTACTCAACTTTTCGCGTCGAGGGCCATATTTAAGTTTGGGACGTCACCTTACGGCCCGACATATTGCCTACACTACCTTGGCCTACGTCAGCACAACATTCTCAAGGCACAATATGTCACGTTGTCGTAAATTTGACTTTAATTTTATATTGCAACTTCGTACATTTTAATATTTTTTAAACACATTTATTTTCTTGTTAGAGTTATGCTTAAATAGCAGTAACCATTAGATGTCTATTTTTTGTGCGCCAATCCACTTCCTTTCCATTCTTCTCCCCTTTGTTTTGGTCCGTGTCTGTGCCTAACTCTTGTTCTTTTCTATTTGTTTAGGAAGGCTAAATATAAATATACACTTTAAACATATAAATTTATACTAATTTAAATGATTTTTTGTGTTGTTTTTTTTTTGTTGTTTTTTTGTACTGATGAAAGCCAAAACGTTTACATTGGTAATTTTGTAAATATATTCGTTAAAGCTGAACTTATATTGTTTCATTTACACAAATTGTTTATGTCTAACTAATGTACTTTAAAGCTTTATCGCAGTCAAACACAGTTGCTCCAATTCAATACTGTTTAAGTTTACTAACGCTATTAAAAGAAGAAAAAAAATTGGCAACTGCTTTCTAATATGTTTTTTCCATGTTTTCTGAGAGCGGTCCGGGTGAGGCATATCGTTGCTCTTAACGCTAACACTATTTTGTTGCTCATCTGGTGAGTGTGAAGTCAAAGTAACTTGCGTTGAGTTCTTTCCAGATGGTTTGGATTGTTGTTGCGCTTTCTTGCAAACATATTCAAGACTTGAACTGCAAGTCTCCTGATTGTTAGATGGATACTATTATTGCTAGAAAGACCTTTGCCATTGTATGTCAATAAATGGTGCACCAGCATTTGTCAGGAGGGACAGGTATCCTGACGTCACAATCATTTAAAAAAAAAAAATGAAATCTGACATCACAACATAAAACAGCCACCCTTCTAATCATGCATGGGAAGCAACTTCGGCAAATCCTCTTGAATGACTTCCCTTTGATAAACGCGGACAAACACGCACCGCTGAAGAACATATGTTTTATCATTGGACTTATCCACACTGCTACAATGCAGATTTGTTTCAAATATATATCACAAAAATCAATCGATATAATAAATCTTCAGCAAGTTCATCGGCTCTACGACTTGATGCGCTATCGGTAGTCAAGCTGCAATTTGATAGGTAGTACGGCTTGATGCGCTATCAGTAGTCAGGCTGAGTCTAGATCAACACAGATATCTTTTTTGTAAAAGTGTTTTTCTTAGGCTGCTTGTTCAATTTGTTTGTATGCTTGCCGAGGAATCTGTCATCTAGATTTCCACCAACTTCCTCATGTCTAATTCAGAGGCTCTCAACCTGTGGGTCACAACCCCTTGGGGGTGAGGGGGTCGAACGACCCTTACAGAGGGGTCGCCTAAGGGCACCGGGAACAAACATATTAATGAAATAGCAAGTCAAATAATTTTATGTTTGGGATCATCACACCATGTGGAGCTGTATTTAACGGTCTTGGCATTAGGAAGGTCTAATTGAACTGAAACTATGTTCACTTAACCCTCCCCCCCCCCCCCGATGGCAGTACAACCCTTCGTGATCAGTAGGTCACCAGTGTGCTACAATTACCCTTGAGTGACCTCAATCTTGCATCTCAATTTTCACCCACTTCCTGATGTTCGGTTGATGAGCCTTTTTCTGCACTATCCACCCCAGATAACAATACAAAATTTCACAATCGGCAGGTCCCCAGTGATCTCAACTGACCCTCGAGTGACCTTTGCGGAGATCTCAGGAACGGAAAGTTATAGGGACATCGATCTTAAGCAACAACGTTCCTAATTGCCCCCCCCCCGGTCCCCGGAACAATCAACGATGATTAAAAAAAATTTTCAACCACAGAAAGGTCACAATTGACCTTTGAACTGTTTGTATTTCAGGTGCCCCTCACGCTTGTTGGTCATATGTTTCCCAGATAACAATACAAAATTTCACAATCGGCAGGTCCCCAGTGATCTCAACTGGCCCTCGAGTGACCTTTGCGGAGATCTCAGGAACGGAAAGTTATAGGGACATCGATCTTAAGCAACAACGTTCCTAATTGCCCCCCCCCCCCGGTCCCCGGAACAATCAACGATGATTAAAAAAAATTTTCAACCACAGAAAGGTCACAATTGACCTTTGAACTGTTTGTATTTCAGGTGCCCCTCACGCTTGTTGGTCATATGTTTCAAACTACTTCCAGATATTTTATGACATCTGCTAAGACTAAAAATAAAAAATATATATATATACATTTAATATTAAACGAAATGGGTTTTTTGGTGTTTTTTTTTAAACATGATTTTATACAACTTTACTAAAAAGTTTTGAATAAATGACCCTCAAAACTTTAGAGTTGTTACAGTCATATGACTTTTAAAAAGAAGCGAGGATCAACCACCAACTCAGGAAGTGGGTCAAAATTGAGATGGAAGATTTGACAAGACGAACACTAAAACACTGGACAGTACAACTATTTTTAAAATTCGTACAGCATCATTGTATTTAGTGGGAGGTCGACGATTATTTCATTTTAATAATAATTATGACTGTAACAACTGTGAAGTTTTTGGGTGAACATTTATTTCATTCTTCTAAAAGATCTCTAATTAAATCATCATTGTCAGTGATGAAGCTACTTCATGACTGATATCTACGCTAGAGAAATACTTGAGATCTCTCATGTTTTAATTCTGTTTAATTTAAACATGTGAATATGACTTTGTACAATATAATAAATAAATAGTTCCATTTATTTGGATCAATAAAGAATCTTATCTTATCTCATCTACCTGATATTATCTCATATTTTTGCCCTGTTTAAGACTTTATCCGACAATAAAAGCTGAAATTAATTTTGATTTTTGAATTTCCAATTATATATAATTTAAACCAGATTTCAACAATGGCAAGACTTGTGACCTGCGTTCTCATCTTACTTCTGCTCTCGCCAACTGCCACCAATGCCTGGTTCCTTGAGGTGGTAGGTGCTGTAGCGGGGGTCATATTGGCTCCAGCAGCTCTACCCATTCTCTGCTTTACGTCAGGTACTTTGCAAAATTTAAAGTGATAAATTATTGATATTTTATTTCTCAAAAATAGTGTGTATTGATATTTCATGTATGGATATTTTATGCATGGATATTTTATGCATGGATATTTTAAGTATGTAGGCTACAGTTAATACATGATTAGCTCAATGTGATTAAGGCTATAAGAAAAAAATAACTAGGACATAAATGTCTTGTATTGTATTTGATGGCCGATAAATTTGATCGATGTTTTTTCATCACATATTTTGCTTATATCAATTCTTCGTTAAAAAAATAGTGAATAGATCGATAATCTCGCCCTATCGATAACGCCTCCATTTTCAGATCGAAATCCAATTTTCCCTGGACTTTGATTCAAATAAATTAGTTTTAAAATAATGATTATGCATGCCCATTCAAAATTGAATAATGAAAATTCAACGTGATAGGCTACGCAATGGATTAAAGCTTTTTTTAGAAATCAGCGGCTTAAAGGATGATTTTAAAGCCATTATGCATGAGCGTCATGTTAAAAACGTTCTCATTGGATGAAATCAGTGGTTTTCAACTTTCCTAGTGCCGCAACCCTTTAAAACAGTTCCTCATACTGTGGCGACCCTTAATATGAATCCATGGTCCCAGGGGGGGGGGGTGGTGTTCGTTAAAATTTTGAGAACAACTTGTCGGTGGGGGGGCTGTTACAAAATAATTTAAAAAAAAAAAAAAAAATTTAAAACCGTTCTCATGGGATGAAATCAGTGGTTTTCAACTTTCCTAGTGCCGCAACCCTTTAAAACAGTTCCCCATACGGGGGCGACCCTTAATATGAATCCATGGTCCCAGGGGGGGGGGTGGTGTTCGGTAAAATTTTGAGAACCACTTGTCTGTATGATGGCCATTACAAAATAATTTAAAAAAAAAAAAAAAACATGTAAAGAAATTTGAGAGAGCGCCCATCACAATTTGAACCATTTCATTCAACCCGTCTTTAAGTGCAAGAGATTAAAACTTCTAATAAATAGTTCTTCTCGAAATCGATGGAGAGAATTTTTATCTGCTTGATAAAGCTGCCAGGTGGGAGCTGATTTGGATATTTGACTTTACCAATAATTTGAGGATACATTTTCGTAACTTAATGCACATATAACAACTTTTGTGGTAAGACTAGAAGCTTTAAATGCTTTATTGACTAATAGTAATTAAAAGGCTTTTACTTATTTTTTAACGTGATCTAAACCGTTTTTAAACATATTCCAAAAATTGTTTCAACTGCAAATAGTTTATAACAATTGAAAAGCGCTGAATTGAACAAAAAATTGTGATTTATAAGATTTGTCAGTTTGCCTTTTATTAAAGTTGCGCCAGCGATTTCTAAAAAAAAAAATGACATTTGATAATAATTATTGTTGCAGAATGTTTAAATACATTGATAACATTAATATGATATTGCATTATGTAAAGCGGTTCTGTGTAAATCGAACTTTCTCAAATCGAGAACCGCGTGTTGATCAACGAGTTGTGAAATGAACGCCAAGTATAAAAATTCCAAAACTTCTTTAAGCTCAGCTATGAAATTGAGCTTTAAAAATCAACTGTAACTTATCTCTTTAGCCAAAGTTTACCAGAGTGATTTTAAAATTAAATTTTCATCCTTACTATTACAGCTGGCATTGCCTCTGGGTCTCTAGCTGCTACGGCGATGTCAGTAACATTGACAACTGGTGCTGTTGGTGCCGCGGGTCTTGCAGGGACTGTTGCTGGTGCTGCAGTTGAAGCAGGCGTTAGGCACGCGATTTCAAAAGCCTTCTCAGAGGATGACTGAACGTATGAAACTGGAGATAGGAATACGGTCGTCTTAGAAAAAAGTCTGATAATTGACTTGTTTTTTGCGGAAATGATATAATGTACTAGAGACTGCTTCTTGATCTTTATAAAAACAGCAACATATTCTAATTCATAACTCAAAATTAGACAAAGAACAGAACTATAAAAAAAAATAACTTATGTAATTTATTCATGCATGTATTTTTGCATGGAAATTTGCTATCAATAATATCTATTTTATAAAATGTATCTTCGAAATGTTCAATGCTATGTCATTTAAAAGCATACAATATGATTGCATAATAAAAACAACAATCCAATGGTATGATTGCTAACCTCCATTACACAAAATAAATAATGTCAAGTACTTTTTAAACATTCAAGCAGTAGTTATTAAATGTGGGACCGACTATTTTCAGACATCAAGGTTAAATAGAAAGGATTACATTTTTTCAAGTTTTCGTATAATTTTTAAACTATAATTTTCTGGGTTTTTAAAAAAAAATAAAATAAGTGTTTAAATTTGTTTTATTTTGTCAATATAATAATTAACATAGATTTCTCATTTTGTAGATTCGCAAGGCAAAGTTTAAGACTATGAGTGCTTGGGAGAATCGGAAAATGATTTTTTTATTTTTGTTGTTCATTTCTCGTTTGTTGCTATTTTTTCATTTCTAATCTTAAATTTGGCTCAAACTTAACGTTGTTGTTTTTGGTTTTTTGTTGTTGTTGTTGAGCCCATATTCGATTATCCAACAGTTTTCAGCTTTTACTAATTATTTCAATGTATCATTTTTTTTTATACTGAAATTAGCTAGAAATATGATTTTTCCACTTACCTAAAACTGCATACTATCTGAAGATCATTATCATATTTAAACCTACTGGTTGGTCGCTAGGTTGACATAAAGGTCAAACATTCTGATCACTCTACATATAAATACGGGCTGCATAACACCTTCAGTCCAAAGGATCTGTTAAAGCACTAGGTCACTCACGCTCTTAAAGTGTCGTGACAACCTGTTATATATATTACGTAAAATTAAATCCTTCTTAACGAATTATAAAGAAAATATAAATTTCAAACAATACTGTATTATTTTCAAAGGAACACGTTATACAGTAGATTATTTTGTTTCTTCTATTTATAACCACATGTGACATGTGAATTTAAAAAAAAAAAAATATATATATATATATATATATATACTAAATCCATGTTTCAACAAGACTAGACGTCACGTATATTTCTTTCCAACAGTCTGGACTAAAGTTCTATCAACTGAACTGCATGTGGGCCCAAAACCATCTCCCTTTTTGAAGACGATCTCTCTGCTCGCATTTCCATTTCGTAGAGCGTAATCTTCTGAAACCCTATCTGTTTATGACGTTTATTTACAAACTTGACATTTGAAGACGTTCTTGTGCAGTCTCAAACGGCTTGACCGCAGAGGCGGGTGGACACTGTCGCTTTAAATTATCACGGTTGACCGCGTTTGCTCCGCTGAGTGAACGGGGGGGGGGATGAGTGAGTTCAGATACACTTGTTTTTAAGTTTTATGCCTAGGTAAAGAGTTAAGTCACTTTATCTGGGATTCTGTAAGCATGCGATGTTTAGAGTAATATTATTGACCACTATTTTACTTATTTTTAGGATACTAGAAGCACTTGATTTTAAATAATTACAAACTTGACATTTGAAGTCGTTCTTGTGCAGTCTCAAACGGCTTGACCGCAGAGGCGGGTGGACACTGTCGCGTTAAATTATCACGGTTGACCGCGTTTGCTCCGCTGAGTGAACGGGGGGGGGGGATGAGTGAGTTCAGATACACTTGTTTTTAAGTTTTATGCCTAGGTAAAGAGTTAAGTCACTTTATCTGGGATTCTGTAAGCATGCGATGTTTGAAAGAGTAAATAATTCTACTTGTGTAGATAATTTAAAGATTAAATTTTAATACTAAGAAATAGAAAATTGAAAAAAAAAATTACTCACAGAAGTCACAGGATCATCGGAATGCAATCACACGATGCAGTCCTCTCTAACGAGCCCAATACTGGAAGAACCTCCCAAACGTGACGAACCCGGTTCTACCCGAAGGTTCGATGGCTTCGTTCTGTCTAGGGGTTTAATTTATTCACTTCACAAATTATATATTCTTACAATAACATATCTTTATTACACAACTAAGCTACATCTTGAACTGCCGTTACTCACAAGACAAACACACTACACAATGATACTACGTCACATCCCCTTTCGCGCAATACGTCACAAGATACAAAGCATTTAATAACAACTACCATGGGCGCCCGCAGAAAACTTTCTAGGGGGGGGGGGCAAAAAAATCGATTAACTTTCCGGGGGGGGGAGGGAACTTTTTTAGTAATGTTTTAATGTAGTTTTAATTTACTGTAGCGTATTTGTATGGTGAACGAACGGATAGGACATCAGCTTAGTTACTTTCTCTTTATTTTCTCTTTACTTTAATACATTTTTTGTCTATTTTTGTCTAACATTTTTTATCCAATCAATCCAGGGGGGGGGGAAAGTGCCCCCTTGCCCCCCCCCCGTGGGCGCCCATGACAACTACCCAAATACTCTCCAAACAACACGCAATCACAATTTACTTTCAAGTCCTTAACAAAAAGTATCTTAAAGAAAGCAAGTTATCACCGGTTTTTACACAGTTACCAGCTGACCACTTTACACCGTGCTGTATGATTAATACACTTCACCAGAGAGCACCATACATGTATGGCCATAAGGTAAGGACTTATAGTTTTAGAGGCAAAACTTCGTTGATGCAAACTGTCGACCAGAGTGTCGGGATATATGAAAAACAAAGGTTATCCTAAACAGTTCCGGTCATATTAGTTCGGAAAATCAACACTCTACTGTGCTTAATAATTATCAATAATTCTAATGGGACATGATCAACTATGTTTTTCAAGGGAAGCAGCTTTGTGTGTTTACATTTATTAATTTAGTATACTTTAAAATGAATGTGACATAATTTACAAATTTATGACACAAGAATACTTTCTGATAAAAAAGATATTTCTTTTTTTTTTTTTTTTAAATTTGTGTTTAAAAGTGGGATAATGCTTACAATTCCCTTTGAGTTACCTCGTCAGCGATACATCAGCAGTCCAAGATGACTTACGTAAATGAAAGAGACATTTCTATAAAGCTTTTTATATAAATGAGGAATGAGGAGGCAGATGTTCTCTATCTGATGTGGGGTTGGAAAGGGATAACAAATCTCTCCTCCCCCCCCCCCC